GGAGATTTGCTTCAATGAAGACTATAAGTCTTTCAATATTATTAAGCAATACTACATGAGAGTTGGTTAATAAAATGTTTCACGACTGTGTTATTTTTTTCTTTTCTATCTGTTAACTGTTTTACTGCTTTGAAACATTAAACTCTTTTCGTTACTAACTGAAAGCTCTTCTGTGAATGTGACATTATCAATTACTACAAGACAGATAAAGTAAAACTAGTAAAACATATTCATAAAATATCAAAAAAAAAGAGTTAATTCAACCATTTTATCAATCAACTTATTTGTAGTGTTAGTCGATTATATTTTAAATGGCGTGGATTCTTCATTAAGGCAGGTCATAATCAATTATCAACTACACTAACAACACTTTTAAGAACGACATGTTTGATAAATTTCGAGGCTTGCTTATGGATGATACATTTCCTTCTTAACATCAAATTTTAAAATTCAGAACATAAAATTTTCTTTTCTTCAAAACAATTCATTATTTATAATAACCAACTATACAAATAAAAGCAAGATTCACCAACAGCAAGTATATTTCCTTTACTCTTCTTAATTTAAACATAGTCAATGAAGATTACAGTGAATAAGTTCTCTTTGAAACAATGTTTGTCTCACTTGTTTCTTAAACTTTGCATCAAATACGAGATATAATTCACTTGCCATGGTAACAAATAATTATAGCCATGACACAACACTTCTCAAGGTTCTAAATTGAAAAGTTTTAATGGATGTGTTCCATTTTTTTTCCACTAGAAAACTTTCACCGATATTTTTCTTTATTAAGAAGATTATTCTTGCTGAAAATTTATTTGTACAACGGATTAGATTGTCCAAGTGAACTGTACTTGAATGATGTTGGTAAGTTATCATCAAATGATTATAATAATAAAAGCAGTATGATTTTGTGCGTTTGTTTTTTTTTGGTAACTTAGATAAACTAGATCTTGTGTTATTATTCTAAGCATTTCATATCAAAATCTTAATACAAAAAATGTCATTGGAAAGTGATAGATTTTAGCAGTATTTATGAATTTTGTCTATATGAAAACAAACTTGATGATGATAAACATTATTTGAAAAGATGATGAGGAGAAAATATGCCCAAGTCTATTTTTCATCCATATCCACGATCTAATATGCACCATCGCATCCCAATCCAGTCTTTGATACAAATAATATTGCTATTTTTCAATCTCTGCACCATAATCGATATTTTAGAACCTATGATGTCGTTACTACTTCATAGTTTTGCGTTACAAATAGAGTCATCAATAAATTCTGAACTATGAATCAGCTACTGGCCACATATCATGCTGTATAGGATTAGATAGAAAGTAGAAATTTGCTCCACGTAGGTATTATTCGATGCTAGAGAATCTTACAGAATAAACATCACATGTCTGTTCGTTTGCAACACGATGTGTGTGCATTACATTCATGATTATTTCGTATTTCGGACCTTAAGACCTGACATACAAAAATATTTTTCTCATCACGTTGACTGAACTCAGAAGTTGATTTGTTATATAAACATAACTATAATAACGTTCGATTCATTCACTAAGCTCGTTTCAAAAAACAATCAGCCAATCTAGAGTATTCATCGATATTTCTTACATCAAACAAGAATGATTCGTATTATGAAGATCTCAATTGTCGTCTCCTTCATTGTTTTTATCGTAATCATCCAGGCGGTTCCCCAACGCGAAGATAACTTTGGTGTTTATACGGTGGGCAAAGTTGGCTCCAAAGGTCACATTTTCTCAAAGCGCCTTGCAGCGAACGGTCGTTATGTCGAGAACGGGTGCGCTTGCTATGCTGGAACTCCACAAGGTCAATACTGCTCTGACAATAATGTTTATGAATGCAATCCCAATGGTGGTTGTTGTATCTATGGATATAGAACAGCATGTGCCACATGTGGTAAATTGGATTGCAATACACAAGTTTGATTCTTTGTTTAGAAACTCTAGTTTTTATAGTATATTATTCAACGCTTATTTAACAACCGCATCGCTCTTCTACTTTTCTTATATGATTTTAGTTATTAGTTATATTGAATAAACTTCTTATAAATAATCATTTGATGTTATATAGAGACATAAACTTTTCACAACTTGAATGAAAACGGCAGTAGTTGATGCTGTCATATTCTTCTAGTCGTTTTAAAAATTTGACTGTTTCAATAGTTATATTGTTTAAAAAATGTACAGTAATGAAGAAAGAGATGATACATTCTAATTGAAGTTTAGAAAGACAACAAAAGTATTACAAGAAATAAAGTAGAGGAAACTAGAAGATGTTAATGTGATGAAAACAAATACGACATGTTTGGAATCCATTACGAATCCATGATCTATCGAATCGGTTTGGTTTTCATAATTTTCGATAAATATTTGTTATGAAATGTCATGAATATGGGTATTAGATATAATGAAAAGAAAAAAAAAACAAATGTTGAATAACAAAATGAAAGAATGTGTATTTCGTTTGATGAGATATATTTAAATAGACTGATAACAAGTAGTACTAGTTCTTGGATCATTTTTTTTTATTTTCTTAAATTTATTTCACAAAACTTGTGAATATGTCGAACTGATCTTCAATTCATTGTCAACACAAATAGCAAGCAATGAATACAAAAACTTTTTTATTATAAGTGCAATTATTATTATTATCTATTCTTCTCGTTCTTCTTTGCTTGCACATTAAAGTGCACAAAAAAAAAAACGTTTCTCCATCTCGCATTGTAATGTTAGAGAAAAGAAAAACGAAAAAAAAAAAAGAAAATAATAGTTGTAACTTACATATAATAAAAATTTGTTTATATCCTTTACTTATCATTCACTTTGATCATAAAGTGAAGATTAGTCCGAAATATTCACAAGGTTGTTTTTTTACGTAAGTTCAGAAAATAGAAAAATGATTAATAAATTCGTGAAAATAGGAGATTTTTGCTGGAATTACATTTCTTTATTTTAAAAAATCAGTTATAAATTATGGTATTACTATTATATGATAAACTGAGACAGCTCAATTATAATTTTGTATTGATGAAAAATATAAAACCTAATGCTGAACCCACCTTTCTATTTTTTTTTTATAAAAGTGCTCTTTTTATTATAAAAAATGATTCACGGAAATTTTTAATAAAGTATTGCGAATCATTGTATGTTTGACATAATATTGATGAAAGACAATAATAGCAAGTAAGAATAAAACAAAATTGGATTCGAATAAATATCACAAGACGGAATAAATTGATATCATTGCTTGATTTATATTAATTTATTTATTTGAATATACATGTATATCACAGACGAAATTGAATTGAAGGTAGAAAAGAAACTTAAGCACATTTCTTTTTCAAGCGAGTCAAAATCTATGATATAATTTTCTTTTAAATAAAATAATTCTAATTTTCATGTCCATTAACAGAACATAGTACTAACTTGTTACTTTTAAGTAGGCAGAATATTTTGTTTCACTAATTCATATTTTAATATATATACGAAAATTCTTTATTCTCATCTTTTTTAATTTTTTTGTTTTAAAATATTTTAAAACTATTTAACATACATTTCGTTCAATTTGAAAACAAAACATGCAAATATACAATAAGTTGACCTTGTAACGTGTAGAGGCTTTTATGTTATGTCTTATGGTATTTTTTACTTTTTTTTTTTTTATAGAACATAGTAAATGATTAAAAATTGAAATGCTCAACGTGGTCATTTATTATGTTGTATCCGTTAATTATTGTTAGCAATGATATTCTTCCTCATATGCAACAATATAACATGGAAATTTCTCTTTTTTCCTATAATTGACATTCTTATGAGGCTTCGAAATATTCTACGTCTATGTAATACCAAATTTTATGAGATTATGAACAAAAAAAGTTTAGAAGGAAACTAATTAAGATTTCATTTCATCAATTTGTCAAAACAGTTAGTGTGATTATTTAAGCATAATTGTGTTTATTTTAGTCAAATATTAAAAGTTCTATCTGAGTTATTTTAGTTACGATACAGTGCTAGATTTTCACTTGTGATGATCGATTCGATTTTTTTTGATCAAATCAGAACCAACAATAACATATTGTCACTTATGAAGTCAAAAAATAAAAAGAAATCATGATTTTCGTGAATTTGATGTCGAAAATACGAAAGAATAGCATTTTTTAATGATGAAACGAACAAAAACATTGTTGTTTTTCAAATTCATTATGATGAAAAGCGACATTTTAATTAAGTGAATGCAATTAATTTCACTTTTAAACAAAGTGATGCAATGAAATTAATGAAAATATCTATTATAATCTATGAATTTGAAATGCATCAATTTTTTTATCCATTTCATCATTTTAATACTATTCTTTCTTATTTTTTTTAACAACAGATTATTCTCATTTTACATGACGAATGATAATAAAGTCAACAATTTCGAATATAATACACAATAGTTTTTTCAAAGCAAAGACTTCTTCAATCGTGATATGATAGACGGATCATTCAAGTGACATACCTGAAAAAGATTCATTCAATAGCCTCACTATTACTATGAGTTTTCACTTCTATTTCATCAACATTTAGATGTATAGATCATTACCAGCACAACAATGAACTCCTTTAATATTTTTAGGCAACACTACAATTACAAATCAAACAAAGTATGGCTCATATTCGATCTCTCTTCAATTTTAACGAAACCATTTCGACCATTAAAAAAATGTATTCTAAAATGGAGCTTGATTGCTGCCAACATAGAATATTGGTCATAATGAAACGACTTGTTCTTTATATTAAGTGTACTAGAGTTTTATACAGTATATTTGATTCTCTTATGTAAAAGTATTGGTTCAATAATGATTATGCCATGCAAGATATAGAGGACTATTAGTACTGCAAACATATATAAATTTTCTATCAAATTCTCGTAACTTTGCTATGATATAAGAGTCTCATGAATATTACTATAATTTAAATACATTATAATAAAATAAAGATAAAATAGAACATGATTGATGCTATAATATATCGTATATATAAAAGTGGCCGATAAGATAAACTGCCATTTGTTAAATTTGTCTTATGAGTTGTGAATGTTGTTGTCATATTCATGGTAAAGGTCGATGTCATCGTAGTGGTAGTGACAATATCAACCGTTATCGCATCAGTCACATTCATTGAGCGAATCCAGTCTAAATAGTAAACCACACGCGTATAAACACCAGAAAAGTTTGGACGTGCACAACCATATCCATATGATGTAATACCAACTACAACCCATTGTTGACTTGAAGTGAACATCATCAGAGGACCACCAGAATCTCCATTGCATGTATCTGTACTCATAAAATATTATCTAAATTAGTTAGTATCTACAACTCTTCAATAATGTTTGTTTACCTTTCCCAGCGCTAAGATCACTGGCACAAAACTGCATTTCTGCATTACTAATCAGTGGAAAACATGCGAAATTGTTATATGCAATGCGTTGAACTGTTACTTGTTGAAGCATTTCAGATATAGTACCATTCTCTTTCAAATCTCCCCATCCAATCGCAACAAGCTTGATATTGAAAAGAATAGAAATGATTGTCAATATTGTTTATTTAGGAATACGAGTGTTGCATCCCAGACATTTACTCTCATGAACTTGTTCCTTGGGTAGTTGCTTTCATATGGTGGATGTTACTGTCACGTTTAAGGGCGGTATGGAAGCGTATGCTACCGATATGAATGTTTTGAGGATGATTGAGTATGTAAGACTGTAGGAAGGATCCTCACTCTTATATCTACACTCTTCGAAACAGATTCGTAAATTTCTCACTGTTTTTAAAAATTGGGATGATTTATACCTATTTAAGTTTCTTCATTATTTCTCTCAATTTTTGACATTTAACAAAAACCATTGTAAGCTTGTCAATAAGCAAGAAATCACTCGAAGATTAGTCGCGTTGGAGAGCACAAGGGTTGTACATACAACTATATGGGATGCAACTGATATGGATTCGATTTACTTATTAAAAAAAAAACCGCACATACTATTGAGTTAATTGGTGGGTAATCGTTTGTTGTCGAGATTGGTAAACATATTTTTGAAATACTTAAATCTGTCATATTGAATGGTGGTGAGACTTTAATTAAAGCAATATCGTTTTGTAACATTGTATCATTATAATGGGGATGAATAATAACAGAAGATGCCCATCGCCATTGTTGCATGCCGAACAACTGATTTGTTGCAGCAGATATTAATACTTGCGAAGGATGCGTATCTTTAACACAATGTGCTGCCGTAAGAATCCAAGAGCTTGATAAAATAGTACCAGCACACAACCACTGTTGGTTAATATAAAGAGATACAATCCAACCCCATGTATTTATAGAAGCCGTTTCTCCTCCGACAATCTTCGTAACTAATGCTGGATTCGTCGAACAGCCACATAAGGTAGTTGAGTTACACATATATGTTGTTTGAACACTGAGTTGAATAAAAGCCAAAAATAAGAATAAAAAATATAAAAGCAACATCTGTATAAATAGAATTAAGAAACATGATAGATAGTTAGATGGTACTGAAACGTCATTTTTTTTTCTTTTTTTGTCTATAATAACATTGTCTACGCATACATTAAATCATTCAGAGTAGACAAAGTAGAGACATTGAACTAGAAAAATAAATGTGGTTCATTTTTCTTAGCTTTTATATTTTATTTTACTTGTAATCATTTTTTTCTGCATAGAATTTCTTAGCATACTTAATGTTAATTCAGAGAACTCGGCACTACCCAATAGAAACTCCTCAATCATATGCAAAACTGCTCTCATATAATTAAGAAACAAAACTAGAATATGTCTCATTATTTGAAATTAAACTTATTGTCTTTCTCAAATAGTGTTAACATATGGTAAATAACGAAATCATACGAAGAACGTTATGAAAATAAAGAAAAAAACAAGTGCTAGTAGATGAGAAATTTTTTCTGCATAATAAAATTTTACTTTTGAAAGTTTCATTCAACTAATTGGCAATTACAATATTGAACAACTAGAAACATTATATATATATTTTTTCTCTAGTGGTTGTTTTTCTTTTCTTTACAATTATTAAAAAAACCAATAAGGCATGTAACTAATAAAAACTTAGAGGATGATGCTTGCTATATCGTAATGTTTACAAAATGAACTTTCGTTTACTGTTTTAATATGTAAGAATGTCGAAAATTACATCTGAAAGAGGTTCCAATTGAAAATATTTATTAATGCACATGCGATCTATCTGTTGGGGTTATTGAGAGATGCTGTATGAAGTTCTTTCTGTCAATTATGAAGAAAAATAAATAAGTGAAATGACAATTTCTGTATAAAAAAAAAGCTAAAAAGAGTATTGTTCTAAATTTATTTATCGAATGATCAGCGTATGTAATCGTAGTACTAGACAGACGAAGGTATGAAAGGATATTTTAACTAGTAGTCTCCTTTGCGTCGATAATTTTTCTTTGTCACAGTTGTTTGTTCGTTTTGACATAGTGATCATTTATATTGAACCATATTTTATATAGTTGAGACAATAAACAATTTCTACCGTGCAAAATAAAATGACATAAAGAAGTTGCATAGCTGAAGGAGTTGTTTTTTTTTTATTATTAAGATTGAATTTGTCTTCTATTTTTGTTATTCATATGTTTCTTGAAAATGAATCAAATATATAACTTTCGAATGAAGTAATAATACGTTCTATCAAACACATGAGATGGAAGTTTAGTCAAAAGACTACAAGGAAAACAATACGTTAATAAGAGAAGTGATTCAGCCATAATAATAAATGGTATGCTACGATTCATCAGATTGAATTAGAATAGAAAGACTTATCAGGTTGTTTCTTTTGCAAAACTATTTTAATTGAAATTAACTTTACAAAAGCATCAATATCTATACAAACTCTACATCATCTCAATTTGTAACTTATGGAAATAGCTATCTCCGCAAGTTTGCGTATTCAATGTTTTTCGATAACTGATCATCTAAAATAAGTGACAATTGTCAAACAAATGCTTGATGAGAGAAGTTTCCCAGCTGTTTGACCGACGTTAAGTCATGACTATGCCTATCAAGTAGACTTTCATGAACTCTAATATACATTGGAAAAGGTTTAGACTTTGAGTTAATGGTTGTATACATACTGATACAATGTGGTATCTTTAAAGCCAGTATGGTGAATGCCTTCAGGAACATCAGGAAAACTGATTTTCGAATTTTGACTGGAAACTTTATATAGATATAGCTGTTAATGAGATGAGTCTCTTATGAAAGTTTCAGAGAAAATATCGATGTAGATGTTAGTGTGGGTTGTTGCGGATCTGTGGGATGTACTACGTCATTGGTAAGTATGAATTTGAGTGAATGTGAGGTCGAAGAGTCAGTGGAAATGAAAAGTATATGTTTACCATTACAACCTCATTTAGTCCTGTACCATCCACAACTCACACTCATCCTAGATAAAAGTTATATGTCACAGAATTCAAATTCAATTAGAAAGATTTCCTCAACTCTCTGTAACCTCAGAAAATTCCAAGTCAGTTTCCGTAGTTGAACATGATTATAAGGAAAGCTTTCGATAGTTTATAAACGGAGTGTTATTGATGGAATTGGCTTCATAATCCAATTGATCTTGAAGATTCCCATTGAGTCAAACTCATTTAGGACTCAGTAAATATCACGAGCTAACTATTAAGTCCGTCATGTCAATCAATCTCTGTTTTAGACATGCAAAAGAAACAATGAAGATGAGAAACAACACATTTGACCTATTTGTTTTGAATTCTCTTAAAATAATCATGGAAACGGTGTGGATTTGCAAGAATGATAGCAAAGAAAAGCAAGGTAACAATAAAACACTGTTAAATATGTCATGGAAAAACACAACGTCAACATTTTGTTCAACCGCATTGAATAAACGCCAACATAAAATCCTGATTGTAAACTTGAATTTTTGTCTTTTTTTCAAAGAAACGAACACAGTTTCTTATGTTTTTTGTTGACTTGTTTCTACACAATACCCTACATCGTTTTCAGGCATGATTCAAGCAAATAAGACAAAGAGTCATCCTCATTTCTACCTTGGCAGACATAGGATTATACGAACATATATTGCTACAGAGGGTATGATCATTATATCTCATTGGAGTCACATTGAAAGCTTTTCTTTAGTTTAAATTGATATGGAAAACCAGTTGCAACAGAACGCTTAATTTTGAACTTTTTCTTTTTTAGAAACAGAAGCAAGGACTCATTTTCTACCGAAAATAAAATGTTTCTAAACGGTGAAGAGCGAAAAAGGTTTGTGGTACCAGAAACCATTTTTCCAAGTGATGAATCTATTCGTTAGAAAAGCCTGATAAACAAATAGACGAAAGTAATAATAGAGAGAACCATTTGAAAACACTTCACACTTCTTGTTGTTTACATCAGGAATGACCGAGAAAGTTCTCGCATTGTTTTTGCCAAATTTCTTTCTTTCCTTCAACACAGAATTCATTTTATGCTTCAAAAATTTTCGAATAAAAAAAAAAAAACATTTTTTTTGTGAACAAGAGAAAAAAGAAATCATATTTTATTCATTATTATAATTCAATCAAACTTTGTGTTGCGCAGTGTTTTACTTTGAATATGATATAGAAATAGAGCAAGCTATAAAAGGACTTTGTTATAAAGGAAAAAGATTGAAAAAGGAATGTTTACATTGTTATTGCGTTTATCGAGGTGAACCATAAGGTGGTGAATATGGATTCGTATTGAGTGATGGTGGTACGTTGAAGTCAGATCTGTTTGAATCTGAATCCGGTGGACGATAGACACCACGGAGCTTTATAATCAAAAGAAAAAAAAGTAGAAACAAAACATAGATCTTATAACATACTTCCTGATAAAAATAAGGTTGAGTCAAATGAGTATTAGGTTTTCGATAATGAAGAGTTTTTCCTTGACCATAATCTTGATACGTGGTTCGATATGGTTCAAAAGGTCCGGCAGATCGCCACCAACCTAAATATTTCGATTTATTTTTATTGCAACAAGTTCAAGAAGAAATAAGATTTTTGCTGCATATTAATGCAGCTTACTATTCTTTATTTCATTATTTAAATATTGACTATTGGTATAAGTAGTTCGTGGTGTTGATATTTGTTCTGGATAGATATAACGTGTAACTACTGGGTGAGAAAAAGTCGTTGCTAGGATAAAAATCTTCATTATTTGTTTCACTTTCGATAGATCGATTTGTTTGATTACCTGGATAATATCGGTTATCCATTCAAATAGAATTCTTAAACCAACTATTCAAATTAGTATTATGGCTAAGATACGTTGAAATAAGAAATAGTCTATGCAGAAGCAAAAGAAAACAGTTGAAAATAAGAAATAAATTATGTTGCTATAACCCAACTGTATTGTGTTGTTCTTTTATAGCTGCTACTTATAAAAATTGGATTAAAATGTTTTTTTCTTCTCTCTCTCTCACCAGATGCGTTACGTTAAAATGAGAGAGTAGTAACGAAAAAAAATAAATAAAGCTTTTTGCTTGTTTCAGATCAAAGAAAAAAAAGTTAAACAGTCATCAAAACAAACGACATATATCGAATAGTCTCGCACAAATACTCTAACACAACGAAAATTGATTATATGTTGTACATTAGAAGAAAAGTTTAGCACATTCCTCGTCAAGGACTATCAATTGAAGAAATTTTAATAGTCATTTTGATAGCTTTTAAATCATTCTATAAAACTGAGACAAAAGTAGCTTTTAAAAAGAACTATTATCGGATGTTTTTTGTTAAAAACAGCGATATCTAAAGTACAAAGTTGGTACTAGACTTTCTTTTAGAAATCGAATCTGAGATGGAAGAATAGTCAAAGACTAAATACCTGAAAAAAAAAGTTCTTGCAACGCTCTTGCAACTAGAAAAGTCCGTATTTCTCAATTATTTCGAGCGACACAAGTCAAATTTGAACAAAACAAATACACCAAAATGTAGCGTATCAAAAACTGTAGCAAAATCAGTTTTCAGAACTTTTCCAAATCCATTCTGCACTCCTTAATCAGAAATTTGCAAGAACTATCCACTTACAAATATGTGGCCTACCATCGCCAAAAATGGCGTATAAATTGATTTTTTTGAATTATTTGAGCAAAATATATTTCATCATAGCATTTTAGCAGAAAAAAATTCAAAAGTTTATGTTTTTTGTCGTTGTAAAACAATCAAGTAGTGAGAACAATCGAAAACTCAGTCACTTCCTGGAAGAGCTATTTATTATTTTAAAAACTGAGAATTAATTTAGCTTCAAATACGCCTTTAGAAAAATTACTATATGCGCTACAAAACTAAAAGAAAAAGGAAAATGATATTGCTCGATAGTGAAAATCGAAGAACATTTTTGAAATGTATACTTATTAACTTTTTCTTCCTCTCACATTTGGTCTTGAAAAATATATCTGCTACAAACTGTCTACTTCAGACATTGTTATTTCTAACAAGAAAAACTTGAATTTATTCAGAAATCAGTCATATCATATACCTGCGTTCGACAATTTTTCACAAACTATTTCATCGTTTGTTATTTTCGAAGAAAAGAATGAGCGTAAGTGACAAATCAAACTCATACGCCTCTATCTCTAAGTTTCAGTCGAATCCAGACAATTAGCAGTGGATTAGTCAAAATAGACATCCCCATTGACAGGCAACTACCTATGAAAAAAAAAGTACCACAGCAAACCACGCACAAAGAACACAACATGCGACAGAGTTTTTACATATTACTCTGCAAAACAGACCAACTCATACTCTTGATGCAAGCAGTCTGATATTATTTGTGTCTAAAAAAAAAATCAGCTTTAGAACTGTGCGTCTCATGAGATGCAATCAGATAAAGGAGACCTAATTTTGCAGTAGTGAGAACAACGCAATGATGATCATGTTTCAGTGACAAAAACGTTTCGAAAACAAAACAAAAACGAGCCAAAAGTAACATCGCGAACAGAACATAGAACGATATGAAAGACAAAAATATATCTGTTTGCTAACCGATACCTCACAAGTCCTCATAATAACAACTCAACTATGGTACACCAAAACTAAACTTTACGATTCATTTTGCCTATCCCTCTTGACCAGAAAATCGAGCAGATGACTGCATACATGACAGTTATCCAGTGACTTCGTCAACCATAATCGTTAGCAACCTCTTTCACACCTCGCGAGCCTATGCAACTAGCACTCTGAACCAATTTCATCCCGAACGAATAACAAACATCTGTACCCATGAATGTAAATAGGTCACTCCGATTATAAAACCATCTAACACCCCCAAAAAAAACTCCATGATATTACACTGATGACTGTGTATCATAACTCCTTATCAGATCCACGTGGGTGTGGGTGGGGTGCAATTTTTCGTTTTTTTTTGGAAAAATAACTTCCATAAAAAATTATCAAGTTTAAAGTTTTCAGGAGCTATCCATTATATTAATATACATCTAATTTAATTAGATACTGATTAAAACTATTTGTAGAACTATCATTCATCTCACTAAAATACTAAACCTTATATTCTATTAATAATATGTGAAAATGTAAAATAGATTTTTGCACTCGACATGACAGATCTTTCTGAAATAACTGCTCGAAATCATTTAATCTCTCATTGATTAATAGAAAATAAAACTATTGAGTTCGTTACAGAACATACCACAATCTGGGCTACATAGATTTAAACTTGAATTAGATAAATCTTAATAACAAACGAAAAACGTACAATCATATCATGAAGTTAATATATTAAACCAAACAAAAATTTATTACAATATACTCTAAGTTTTTGAATAAATTTATTTGTATAAAATCTACGAAACTATCTTTTATAGTTTCACAGTTATTTCGAAAAGTACTTTATTTGAATAACTATCGTGAACATCTGTACTTTCAAATCTACTAATTTTAAAAATCTTTGTGACATGGAATGTTGAACAAGATACTTTTCATTTCACAATAATGTGTAACAGAATAAGAATTGTTTCAAGAATCTGAACAATTCTATCGTTGACTTCACTTTGCTGATCTCTCTAAATCTTACTATTAAAAACACTTTTTTAACCTTAATCTTAATTAGTAATTCAACGAGATTTATGTACTGTTTCTTTTTAGAATGGTTTTTCGATTGAATTCGAATTATCATCATTCGATTGTGGACAGATCAGTTTTTCAGACGACAAAAATGTAGTGTTAATTCTTCCTATTCGCGGCAGACTTTCTAATTTCGTCGATATTTGAAGGTGTGGGTGTATGGGACAAGTATTTTATTGTCGACACTCACACCCACACCCTAGTTTAGAGTTTCTTCTTTCGAACAGGTGCCGACAATGAATCGTTTCAGTTAATAAAGTTAAGACTAATTTAATAGTTTGATATTTGTTAGAAGAGGATCTCATAATTACGGCATACCTGAGATTTGGAAGTTTTTGAATCTAATTTATTAATACTAATTGATGAAATTCAAACCGATACAGCACATGGTAGACTGCTAATATGTGTTCATGAGTGTGACATTAGATTGGAAATGAAACCTTTTTTTAGTTAGAGATATGTTTGCTGTTCTCAAAATTTGACGAGGGGTCTGATTTTTTTTGTTACCCTCTGTAGAATAAGAGCGTCAATATAATGCTATACAACTGTCTAAAATCAAACATGTTACATACGAATATTGTCGATATGAAATGAGTATCGTGATTGACGAAATATGATTCAATTTGATCTTTGACAGACATGTTCTGTTATAAATGAAATGATTTACAAGATAGAAACACAGTAAAAAGGAATATGACAAGAAGATATACGAAAAAGAAGCATGTTGAAGAACGACGTTGTTTGATGGAAACTCAAGAATGCACAAAAAAAATAAGTCAAAGCATCATGAGTAATAACTAAATAAGACAAATGCTCCTCTTGGAGATGCAAATTCAATAGTGTAACGTTAATTATTGGACACAAATAAATTCTGTAAATACTTCCGTGTTCAGAAAAAAAAGAGTTTTTCTTTTTTTTTTAAAACTTCATTGAGGAAATAATTACATCTCATAATATGAGAGAAAGTAGCAATACTAGATGAAAGCTCTATGATGCATTTCAATGACTCAACTATTGAGAAAAAAACGAAGAATTGGTAGAGTACAACATAATAAGAAAAAACAGCCATTCAACTCATCATTTTCTTTGTACAAAGTTCGATAGGTGTCCAAATTTACCAAGCAGAAAAGTATCGACACTAATTCTTGCGATGGACTTTTATGTCTTGTATTATTTGAATGAAGAGAATAAATTTATCATCTATTTTGAATAACAAGCGATATTAGAATGTTCATTTCGAAGCAAAAAACAAACAGCTATTTCTAAGAGATGGATAAGCAGCTCGATATTGTTGTATCACTCATTTTTGTTCTATGATGATGATAATAAAAAATTCTTTGGGAAAGAAAACTTTCGAGCGTAATTTGAATTAGTGGCAACATTTTCTTTCATACATTTTGCTTGGCAATAAAGAGCTTGAATCTCATTTTCAATGTTATTACAATAATGAAATACTTCTACTCATTTTTTTCTCATTGTCGAGATGTAGAGAAAAAATATGATGATTACGGTTGGTTGGTCAACACTTTGTTGAAATTCCAATGATCAATGTGTCCATTCATTCACATATTTCCCAATTTCTAGTTATTACAAGCGTTCTTGTCTTCATTCAATAGTTTCCAGAAGAATATTTTCAATATTATCCAGTGCAAAGAGAAAATTAGACAGTGAAATTAACGAGTGGTTTTTTTTTGTATAAGATTTTATACAATGCCTATACAACATGTGTTACAAATTTTGTGCAATAGTCTATGTACCAAATTGATTATTTTGAATCTTTATGATTCTCATGCAATTTATTCAATGATGATTCGCCCTCAAATTCTTTTTCCGCAGTCAACGATTAGTATACATATATTTCATATTAAAACCAAATATGGCAAATAACATACTTTAATACGTAGAAATTCAACTTTATAAAAAAGTCATTAATGATTAATTGAAAATCATCAAAACTCACTGAATAGAATATCAGAGAAATATGTGTTAAATAATTTAAAGTAATCGATTTCATCAATGTTCGATCCCTTGAAAATTCATATAAATGACTAAATTGATAAGCGACGTAGTTGAGGAACATATGATAATAAACCATCAAACTGATTAACCATAACTTTATTGTTGATGACGA